ACCAGTGCTGTTCATTTAAATTTAGAACTCTCTGACTTCAGAATCATGTTTTACTTTTCACTGCCCTCTGCATCTCCAATGCCCACTTTAGGGTTCTATGAAGATTAAATGCTATAGTGTGTATAAAATATGCAGTAGCAGCTTTATTGTAGATGCTCAAAGATTGGCATGAATAGTTGCCATTTTGAATTTTGATTTTTCTTAGTAATATATCTTAGAAGACACTATTTGGAAAGTTTTAATTTTCAGGATGAGGGTGCCTTTAGAGGAAAGTCCCATGGTGAGCTGTGACATTTTAAAGCTATGAGAAACCTGAGACATCATCACTTTTACCACAGTCTATTGTTTTTAGTTTGGTGATCTTGCAGAACAATATCCTCTTACCTGACATTTTTATACGTAAACACATCTAAGTTGAGCTGATATGGTTGAATGGGATGGGGGAAGAATCCTCATTTTACTCTAACATAGTTCATAAGGTACCTTTTTGTAACCCTCCCGGTTCCATATATCACCATTTGAAAGTTATTTCCCTAGTAACTTTCTCTGCTTTTGCAAAGGAAGATACTGAGGGTCGCAAGAGCAGTGTTTGCTAAAGCTTGCAGTTAGTAGCAGAGCCATGAGCAGAAGAGCTGTTACACTTGACATCTTCTAAATTCTGGTCCAAAGCACTTTCGTGGACCCATGGCTACATAAGAGTGCCTACAGGAAAGCACAAGGGGGTATTTGTTCGTAGGATTTTTAAAATATTTGTTCCTATACATAAAGAGTAATAAAAAATATTTCAGCCTCTAACATGGTGGTGGTTGTTGCTAAAATATTACTACAAAGTTTTCAATCATTGGGATCTTTTTTATGGACTCTAAAGTTAGCTTAGTTTGATTCCTGGGTGGAAACAGTAAGCATTGTATTTATACAGCTATTGATTCTCTTGAAATTGGAATAGCACAATAAGAACTAATGTGTCTGCCAATTATCCAGTTGGTATCGAGGCATAGGAGGGACTAGATAAGGGAGGCCATTGTCAAAAAGGTTGCTTATTCCAAAGTATTTATGAGCAGCACCAGAATATTCTTTTGGGTTAGTAGCTTCTGTTGCTTTGTTTACTTATATAGACTATGTTTGTGCTTACAATCACAGAACAAATACTTGATGAAGTGTAAACTACGATTGCATAATTACTTGATTACAAAATAAATTATCATTGAATATGCATGTATATTATCTAAATATTATTATATATTTAATAAGAGACATATTGAATGTAATAATAATTTGGAGACATCTTTCTAAGCTAAAAAGAAAATTATGTTAGTAAATATAATTAATTTTATTCCAAGGTCTCAGGACAATAAATGTTTATGCATTTAAAGAAAACCTTAGCATCACCAAAGAATAAAGATATGGCTGCGTGTTAGAAAAAAATGCAGCATAAAATTCACCCTCATTCAACAAAACATTATTGAGTGTCTTTCCCGTGTCCTATCGGATACACTTGTATATGCAGAAAATAATGAAACAGACAAATATAAATAAATCACAAATTAGAATGATGGTGAAATACTTTGATCTAGGAACAAAGTATTGTGAAAAGTGAGGGAGTTAATTTAACTACAGAAGCAATTTATGATACATGTGTATCATATGTTTTTGGTCAGGAAGTATTTTGATAATTAAAAGAAGTTGAAATGGGAATTATATAACAAAATGCAGTAACAAATACAAGTATAAGTAACTTTGGTAACAAATTCCACTGACTCCGAGTTTATAGAATTTAGGTGGCCGAAGCTGAAACCATCACACTACCTTGGACATGAGCTTACATATTTTATGAGAGAATAAATAATCAGTTAATCTGGGCGGTCAGTTAAGTGGGTAGTGTAAAGGCTACTTATAGTTAGATGTTTAAGAAAAGAAAATAATGTGTATGACATCACATATGTATACATCTAGATGAACACATAGGTGTTTAAAAAATGATGAGTAAGACATCCAGTGAGTTATTCAGGTTTCCTCTCTGCTGGTGGTGGTGGGGATGGGATTCCTTTCAGGAAACTCTGGAAAGACAAAATACCAAAATCTGGAATAGCACAAAGAAGAAATTTACGTTCTACATCATATTATGAACAATTTGTAACATATTCTTTAAAAAATATCCAAAGCACATGGTTACTTTTCTGCATTTGACAAAATAGAAACATTTACTTTCACTAAAATCCCACTGTAAAGAGCACTGTGCCCGGCGGGCGTGGCTCAGCGGTTGAGCATCGACCTAGGATCCAGGCGATCGGGGTTCGATTCCCGGTCAGGGCACATGCCCGGGTTGCGGGCTCGATCAATGACTCTCTCATCATTGATGTTTCTATCTCTCTCTCTCCCTCTCCTTTCTTCTCTCTGAAATCAATAAAGATATATTAAAAAAAAAAAAAGTACTGTAATGTGTGTGTGTGTGTGTGTGCGCGCGTGTGCACCGCGTCTCCACACTGACTTCTAAGGATGTCATTTACTGGTGTTCCCTTTATTTCACTGAGCTCCATAATGAGCTGGACATGTAAGCTTGGGAATTAGCACTCAATAACTAAATTACTCTGTTTAATAGAGGTGAAAATAATTTTAAATTCCCTAGGAAATGTCAGGTGGGAGGAGAGAGTAATATGAACATTAGAGACAGAAGAGAAAAAAATTAAAATTGTGTAATGAAGCAGGGAAGGGCTTGGGACAAGAGAATGAGGATTTTTTTTTTTCATTGATAATGAAATTATCAATGTGACCTCTTTGCTTTGTGCCCCTCTGATGTTTTAATTGAAGTCTGTGTCACCCATAAGTGATTTTGAGAGTGGATCTTTTAGGATATTTTAAGAAATTCTGAGTTTTATATTACAATTGGCATTTGGCAAATCCAGGGACCAAATGGCTGGACTCAGTACCAGAGCAAAAGGGGACATTTGACCCTGTGTCCTGTTTGGGGAATTTGTCTTGAATTATCTGAACTAAGGTGAAATACCCAGTTGTGAGCTGACTTGAGTCCCTACCCCCAAAAATAGAATCAGGGGGTGGAGGGTCCTAACCATCCTGCCCTCAGTGTGCAGGGAAATAACGAAGACCCCTTCATGAAGCCCATTTGTTTTAGACATACCAGAATATCCTTGGTAAATTGTGCAAAATAACCTGAGCTCAACCTTAAAAACTTTGGATGAATGCCTCGTTTGGAACTGATGGTTACAAACAGAGAGTTAGGGGTCAACAGTGTGATGTGAGATCACTAGCATTTTGAGTAAACCTGTCATAAAGGAGATGAGTGAGAGTCTTGCAAGATGGGCACACAGNGTGATGTGAGATCACTAGCATTTTGAGTAAACCTGTCATAAAGGAGATGAGTGAGAGTCTTGCAAGATGGGCAAGACTATTCAATCAGAACCGTGGGGGAGGGGAAAGGAAATACGGGGCAGATGTTGCTTGTTGTGTAAGGACCTGTAATCTGCTGTAGGGTGCCCTGGAGAGCACAGGCCATGTGGGTCTGGATACCAGTAAATTGCTGAGAGACCACTGGCCAAGGTCTTCTAGAAACTAGAGACCCGTGGGGAAATCTGAATGTATAAAAAGCTGACTTGCCCCTGTGTACCTGTACCAGCAACACACCCACAGTGATTAACAATCTGGCCTTTGAGTATGAGATCGCCTGGATTGTAATCCAGCTCAATGATGCATACTCTGTGTAACTCTGACTGAGTTTCTCTCTCTGTGCCACAGTCTCTTCATGAGGAAAATGAGGGAAATAACGTTATCTAACAGAAACTGTAGTTATGCAGATACAAATAGATAACCCATGGAAAGTACTTTGTATACCTTTGACCTAAAAAGCAGTATAAAAAAGTATGACTTCTATTTCATTACTATTATTGTTGTGAAAAGAGACGAAGAAAATACATGGAAAATGCCAGAAGTGTATCTTGAATTGTGTAGCTGTTAATTTTTTAAAGAAATATTTTTACTTTTGGGGATTTTTTTTAGGTTTTCTTCAGTAAATATGCTATTTTAAATTAAGAAGAAAATTTTCTAATTGTCAAATTATTTTCAAGTAAGAAACATTCTTTTCGTACAAAGGATAATTCTGACGAGAAAGTCTCCTTAAAAAATTATTTTAACAAGTAAAAGCATGAATGCAGTTCCGGTTAGACGCTTAGTGTCATGCTATTCTCTATAAAATAACTAATAAAATCTTACCTGTTTTATTATATTTTACCTTAGAGTATAACATGGGGGTAGTGTAGGCATATGTAAACCTAGATTTAATATTTTCTAATGCCTTTGTTTAGAATCTCTTATATTTAGTAACTAATAATTTTTTTTTTTTTTTAATTCTCACCTGAGGATATTTTTTTCATTGATTTTTAGGGAGAGGAAGGGAGGGGGAGGTAGAGAGAGAGAGAAACATCACTGTGAGAGAGACACATCCATTGATCACCTCATGCGCTGGCCCCAACTGAGGCCAGGGATCAAATCAGCAATCGGGTACATGTCCATGACTGGGAATCGAACCCGCAACCCTTCTCTGCTCAGACTGATGCTCTAACCACTTATTAAAATGTAGGTAGAACATTCTGGTTTTCTGAAAGAACAGTGATTAATCTTTGGTTTGTTATCTGCAAAATATTCGTCAGACACAAAAACAATCCTTTTCTTGCAGAATGTGGGGGAGCACACTAAAGAGTTAATTGCATTTCTGTAACTTCTTTTCAGGGATTTAACATTTTCATTTAGCTGATTAAAATCTGCTGTAGGTGATTATTATGCCAGGTGTGTGTTTCTTTTTTTAAAATGTCATTCACCCAAAAATGATTTTAAAATCTTTAAATGGCTTGAACCAGATTTTTATTTCTCAAAGGGTTTCTACTTATGGAAAATTTGCTTAGATTATACCCTTTTGTCATCGTCTCAATAAATGTTAAATCAATGCAAAATGAGTGGATTTGTATTTCTAAAAATAACATCTTTCACAGGAAGAAGAGCTAAGGAAGAGTGGGGAAGCCAAATATGCCCACTTGAGTGATGAGCTTCACGTATTAATTGAAGTGTTTGCGCCACCTGGGGAAGCTTATTCACGTATGAGTCATGCACTGGAAGAGATTAAAAAATTCCTGGTTCCCGTAAGTGTTTTTCATTTTTTACAAAGAAGTTTCTTAGCAGTTTCTATTTTTAAAATGTGCCTTTGAGCTTCACTAACTTTTTAGAAGGAAACTCGTGTTGCAAACTAGTTATTCATAGAGTTGATATGAACATAAAAAATAATATAGAATACAATAAACACTTAGCACCGGACCTGGCATGTTGCCACATCATGATGGTTCCACAGCAGTATTTATCTTCAGTGCATTACCTGCCAGGCACCAGCACATAACCGTGCAGGGTGAGACAGTGAACACATGAGCACAGATGCATAATTGAAGTTGTGTACTTTTCTTTTGTGTCTTAATAACTTGATAATTGACATGCACTATTGACAATTTTTAATTAATATTAAAGCATTTACAGTTGTAGTGGGAACAAAAAGATTACATATGTAATACTTGTAACAAGACAGTGTTATTGTTTGAAAATATAAAATGTATTTTTATGTGATAGTATGCAAAGCGCTGGCTCATTATAAAATGTAATATAAGATAATCAGTATTAATAGACTCAGACATTTGTTTACATGAAGCAAAAATTGGAAAAATAAACTCATTGCACTATGCGAGAGCAATAGAGAATGTTTGGTTAGTAAGGCAGTAAATTCAGGATTGCACTTTGAATAGAATTCCATACTGATTTTCTAAAAAATTGAGGAAGATTATATGAATGAAGCTTTTCTAAAGGTTGAGAATTTAGCATTCTAGGAATAGGTCATTCAAATAGAAGTCTTTGGCAGAGAGAGAGAGAGAGGGAGGGAGGGAGGGAGGGAGGAAGGGAGGGAGAGAGAAAAACTAAAATTAATCTGTGCAACAAAGAACACAGTAGATTTCTAAACTAATCAATAAACTCAGAGGAAATGGTGGGTAAGACTCATTGATTGACAGTGATTTTGAGAATGGGAAAAGAAAGAAAAAACAATTTCAGAATGTAAACGTATCAAAATCTAACCACATAATTAATCTATTTATATGCCTAGCTTAAAATTTCCTCTAAAGACAAGGTTATAGAATAATGCCATACCACTCTTATTATTCCCTGATATTATATGCTCACCGAATTTCTGCATAAATTATTATCTGGTGCTTATCTGAACACCTCCCTGAGTAGATTCTATATTTCTTAAGAATGAGGGTGCTAGGTATGTTCTCTCTCCTTTTTCCTCTAAAGAAAATGCGTAGTACTATTGGGTAAACAGTTTTACTATGTTTATCTCAGACCAAACTTCTGATGATGTTGAACTTCTGATGAAAACGCTAGGATTGCCTACACTACTAACATATTTCATGATGGAAGACAAGTCATTTATATATTCAGAGTTTCTGCTTATTCATCTTTAAAAAGAAGATAATTATAATTAACTGACCTCCGTCACAACCATTGTGAATATTAAATGGGGTACTGCATATGAAAGGACATAAAGTTACAAAGCACTATATAAATGGATGTTTTTTAATCAATTTTATTTTTATGGTAGATAGCCTAGGAATGGCTTTTTGAGGTGAAATATGTAAGATGAAATACTATTTTATTGCTACATAAATATTGGACCTAGGCTGTAGGCGAGGTTAACCTTACTGCATTAGAAATACCACTAACACATCTTCTTAGACGCCTTGGTGCTTGTGATCATTGCATTGTATCTTGTGCACTGAAATATATACTCCATGAGAGCAGGGCTAGCAGTACCTCTCTTGGATTTCCATCATTTAGCATCATACCTGGCAAGTCAGTGTTTGTTTGATATCTGATGGAAGGAATGGCTGGCAAGCACCAGGAGCGCTGCAGATAGGGATCCAAGAGCTCTCTGGGCCACGTTCAGGAAGTAGTAGCCCACAATCAAGGTGCTCTCTCCACATATACGCATCCAGATGGAGGCTGAAAATCTTATCCTGACCAGTTTGACCCGCTCCTGTCAATCTCTGGGATTTTATCTCCACCTGTCCAACTGCTCACTTGTGCTCCAGACATGCTGACTTCCATTCATGCAATACTCCAGGCTCCCTCCTCAGTAAGGGCCTTTGAAGATTCATCTCCAAATTATTGACACAGCTATCTCCTTGTCATTCAGGTCTTGGCTCACCTGTTAGCAGTGCAGGAAATTCTTCCTTGACCAAACAGCCTGAAATAGCCTCTTGACATTTGTACAATTCTATTAAGTTTCACAGTATCACTGGCCACCTGATTTAACATTGCCATTCATGGTCTCACTATGCCCTAGCTCTCCTCACTGTTTTATTTCCTCATAGCTCTTATCACCTTCAGAATATATATATTGTATGTATGTGTATATTTATTTTTAACTTATTTGTTAATTGTTGGTTTTCCTGCTAAAATATAAATGTCATATGGGCAGAGATTATTGTCTAATTTCACTGCTTTATTCTCCCATTTTGAACTATGCTGGGCACATAAGAAGCACTTAATAAATATTTTTATGAGTGAATAAATGATTGAATGAATAGCTTTTAAAAAAATAAATAACGATTCTGATATTGCTCCACGTTATATGAACAAATCTTACAATCACCGAAAGTCCCCTCACTTGATAGATTTCTCCCATTTGCCTTGCCTTGCCTCAGCACCCAGCAAAGGGTGGCATCTGTCTGCTTCATCCATCACAGCTGCAAGGGGGGAAGGAATTGCCAATTCTTTGTTTATTATATGAAATCACTTGGAGATCCAGGTTTCTTTTGACATTTGATATTAAAGTCCACAGAAATGCTAACACTCTGGGACATTAACATTTACAAGCATCATAGGTGAAGAATTTTAGCCAGGAAGAGGCACAGACAACGTGGAAAGCTAGTGCAGAAGAGGGCCACGAAGTCCCACTGGCATCTAGGTCCTCTACAGAATGGAGTGTTTTTCCATGATTAGAATTTTTACCTCCCTCCCCTTCCTGTATGTAACCAAGTGTTTACACAGTTTGTTCACAGTCCAGGGGCTGTAATCATCTAAGACTGCTGACTTTAGAACATACAAATATTTATGAACCGTCTGAATGCCGCAAGATGTTGGGAAACAACACAGTTTCAGTGCTTAAAGTGAATTGTTAGAGACAAAAGAATTATTATTGCCCAGGGAAAATTTCTGCATGCTAGTCTCCACTGAGCCACTGTAGTTTATCAAAACAAGTAGAGTGGCAGGTCAATAAAACATCAATAAACTGAACCTTGTTGATTTTAAATCTTGAGTGCTTTGAGCAGATGCTACATTAAGGTTTTCCTTATATTTGCTAATTTGGTTTACAGATTACACATGTTAAATAAATTATTTGACAATGGCAAAAGGTAAATAAAATCTTAAACTAATATGTTTCAATAATGTCAATGCCTCTGCCTTCCCTTTATAAACTGTAAAGGGGTAAACAAGTCCATTATTATATTTTGTAATACTCCCTTCTTCTATATTCAGACACTTGGGCTGCCACTTGTGATTGCGCAGGTTGTGCTTTGTGCAATGCTAGGGGGCAGCATCTATATCATAGTTTGTGGATGGGACCCCTGCTGCCCTGAATACTACTACACTTTTCCAACTTTAGTCAGATTAACTTAATATAATGATCCTGTATTTCTTTTCCCTAAAGTGATTGACTCTCATCTTTAATTAAATTGAGTTAGTAAGTTTTACTAATGTTTAATAATTAACTCATGGTTGAAACATACTACAAAGGATCTCATATTTAGAACTTATGAAGAATTCAGCAAAATTTTGCTCATTGGATGTTAATTTATACATCCTTTTATCAAAAAGGTGAAAGGAGTGGTTCCATATAAACAGGAAATTAGATTTAGGTCACAGATAACAAATAGATTACTTTGTTGCCTTCTGAAGAGTTAGTTATTTACAGAATTAAGAGATCACAATATTAATTTTTACCAAGACTTGTAATGGCCTTGAATCTTTCCAAGTGCGGTATGCTACACAACACTTTAATATTATGAGTTAACACAACTTGAAAAGTATTTGTCATGCCTGGGTTAAACCTCTAATGATCATCACTGCAAGTTTGTGTCATTTAAGGAAAAGGCATATATATATATATGTATGCATATATATGTGTGTGTATATATATGTATGTATATGTATATATATATGTATGTGTATGTATGTATGAATATATATAAAAGAGGCAGGGTGTGTGTATATATACATATATATATATATATATAAAAGAGAGGCAGGGTACACACACACACACACACACACACATATATGTGTGTGTGTGTGTGTGTGTGTATCCATTCATCCACAGGGACATTCACAACCCCTGATGTTTAGTTTCTTCTAAATGCCAGAAAGAAAAACATGCCGTTTGAAGCATTTGTTGTGCCTTCTATAATGACACCTAGTATAAAATGAATACATACCTATACATATGTGTGTGTGTGTGTGTGTGTGTGTGTGTATAACTTAATCCCTATGTGAAGTTTGTATCTGTGTTTGTGGTGTGTGTATCTTTTTTTTCACATATATTAATACTTTAAGTAAATTCAACACAGGAAAGAAAAGCATCAGACCTGGTTGTTTATTTCATTCTTGCATTAGATTGGATGTATTTCTTGGTGATAGCCATGATTCTTGAAATGGGGCTATTAAGGCATATTATATCATTTCAAGTTTGAAATATTGGAAACCATATAGAAAACCTAATAAGAGTGTGACTGTGGAAGAAAAGTAAAGCACTTTTCCTCTTTATGGTAAAAGCAAATAGAAGACATTCTTGCCCTCTGTTCTTCAAAGACGCTAATCCCAGCTCCAGAATGGGAAAATGACACTGATTGCTAGTAGAAATCATACAAGAAAGTAGATATAAAGAAATTAGAAAAGATGGGGAGGGTATTTTTAGTCAGGGAGATGGAAGAAAACCTAGACTTTCATGCACTGAAAAATGTTTTGTAAAATTTTGGAAGATTATAAACAGAATGTATCTGTGAAATTTATACTAAAATTTGATAAGTGACTATTTGGTCAG